GGGCAGGGAAGGCGCGGGAAGGGTGTGTGGGGGGGTGTCGCTGGTTGGGAGGGGGACAGAGGTAGAGCTACTGCGTTCTCTAACTTACTGGGGGCGGAGCGTTGATGTTTGTTTGTTTTTTCCAGTCAATATTTTGCTTCTTGTCCGTCGCGGGCGCTGGTGGGGAGATGGTAGTGGAGAAAGCGGGCTCAGGCCCCTCAAAGCCCGTAGGTGACAGGTGTCCCCAGCAGCAGGAGCCCCTGGGGCACGCGAAGAAAAGCAAGCAGCAGGTCTCCGACGGATTCACTGTTAAAGCCATGATGAAAAACACTGTGGTATGTTTGCTGCTAGTATAGAGGTGATGTTAATTAATTTACTCTCACGTGTCCAGGAAGCATAGCCAGTTAGAGCTGGCGACAAAGAATGTCAGGAAGGTGCGTGAGTTGCTAAAACGTTATCTGGAGTTTGTTGGTTGCTGAAATTACCTTCAGGCTTTACAGAAATATTATCATAAGGTAACTCTGTGCCTGTGGAAATTGTGATGCTTTGCTTCCAAGCGTATTGCTTTGGTGCCACAATTTTTCTGTATTGTTTTGTATGGGCAATGCACATTCTGTTAAACTGTCAGCCTGTAGAATTGTGTGCAAGACTTACTACCTCACATCTAGCAAAATGCTGTCAAATGATACTGTAGTATTATTTGAAAGCGTTTTCATATACTGGCACAGTGTGGTATAAATTTCACACGAACATCACGTAGGAGGGCAAACATCTGGAAAATACATTCAGTTTTAAAATAAGCTTGAAAAATAATAAAAAACTTCCACATGGTATAAGAGAATACTAAACTCATAGCAGACATCAGTTCTCCAACTCATAGTTCAAAGACAAAGAGGAGTTGATCCAGCAAGCTTCACTTTCAGTAACAGTCCCATTTTGTAACTAATTTAGAGCTATGTGAGTGAAAATACTAGGATAAAGGCTTTTCAAATTGCTTTATATTGTTTTATTTTTCTACTTTTGTCAGATTTTAGGACTAAAAAAAGCTTCAGCTAGTACAGGGTGCAAATGTTTAACATGTAAGTGGATGAGCTAATAGGAGCACACATTTGTGTTTGAAGTCCTGAATGGTGTTTTTCTTTATTTGGACACAGTTCAAGGTGTTAGCAAAGTCTTGTGTTCTCAAGGGTTTTTTTAATTCTATATGTTCTTCTGACAACAGTTAGGAAATACATTGTTTCCCCTTGTTTTGCTGAAACAGTCTTCCTGGAGCAGTCTCTCTGGACTTGTTATCTGTAAGAGCATCCTCTTAAAAACCCAAACAAGTCCATCTTTAAACAAATTTTAAATGGAGTAGAAATTGTTTACATTAAAAATTTTCTCCTTTTTAGTAAAACTAAAACATGTTTCACCTTAGTGGGAAAAATACAAGGTGAAAACAACCAAAAAACCCTTTTGTGTTAAAGATTGTTTGGTTTGGTTGCTTTTAATTCTAGAGATGTGTGGAATAGGCTATAACACTTCAGGGAGTATAAGGATTAATTTTTAAAAGGCATTTCCTCTTCTCTGGACAAAATTCAAGTCGTGGATGTTTGCACATATTTGTTTATACCCTAATATGTAAAAGATGCTTCGTTTTTTGTAGAAGAATCAGCTGTTTCAGTGGAGTTTGAGAAATACATATTTAATTTTAAAAAAGGAGCTTTGACTTCTGAACATAACTAGCTATGAGTTTAATCAGAATTTAAGTTTTCTTTTAAATATTCATAGGGTTTTAACATTCATGGCTGCAATTCTAACTTCCTAAACATTAACAGAATGTTAAATCATGTGGTACTGTCATTAAGCAACAGCAAACAGGTAAGTCTGCTGCCTTTGGAGCCACTCATTGAATCATGGAAATGATAGGGTTTTGGCATGGACCTCTGGAGATCATCTAACCCAACTTCCCATTTGAAGTGGGCCTGTCACTAGCACTCAATCAGGTCAGTCATGGGTTTTCCTAGTTAAGCTGTGAAATCCTCCAACATCAGAGATTCCCTGACCTCTCCCGGCAACCTGTTTTGTTGCTGCCCTGCCTGCCTGCCCGCCCTCCTGCCTGCCTCCTTGGCACCCTGTCATAGGTAGGGTTAACAGTGTTCTGACCCACTCCACAGGTTCTGCTCATAAGTGGGTAGCAAGCAGTGAAACCGTTAGAGGTCCTGGAAGATTCATAGTGCTGTATTTTTCAAAAGCTTCAAGTGGGGACAGACAGTCACTGAAATAATTTCCAGTCAGTGTGCAAAAAGTCAGGATAGAGTAAGGAATATCTCACTGCCACTCTGTCTGTGCAGAAGTGGGTGTCCCTTTTCTCTTTTCCAACAACTGGTTAAATGGAGCTTCAGATTTATTAACTACTCACTTGTCAAAGGCTGACATCATTGATGAAGTTCTCATGGAAGGCTTAGGAGTTGACTGGAGGGTTGAAAACACAGCAGGTAAATATAGTTCAGACATGGTAATTCTTCTTGTTAACAGCATGACAAGGCACAGGGTTGTCAGCAACGTGTTCAGCATCTCCAGGTTAAACAACTAGGTACAGATTAATAGCGTTTGCTGCAAGCATGCAGTGAGTCTAAAACTCTTAGCATGGAGTCTAACAGATTACCATTATGCATATATGACTGTAAATATTGTAGTAAAGGGTCCAGAATTCTTTGATGATGCTTGTGCAAAGAGCGTTTTACTAAGCTATTCTTCATGAAAGTTGCTAGATAAAGTTTTCTTCCCAAGTCTGCTTTCATAGCCAGTAGTAAGTACAGAAACTAAGTACATACAGTATTCAAGACTTTTCTCAGCTCTGGCTAAATCTAAAATTTACTTATTGAAATACATTTCTTAATAACTATTCATGGAAAAAATTGTTCCTGAACTGAAGAAGGTGTTTTGGTTTGTTTTATGTTATTCCAAAACTGTAATTCATATAGCAGTTTAGATTAAGAGCAACGTTCAATAACGGTCTTCTGCACTAACAAGCTAGATACTATGACATTTACATTTTATTTGTTTTGTCCTCCAAGTGGAATCAAGAATGCCATGTTAAGTGCTCATGCTTCACATGTACTGCATGGGTAGAATTAGGAATATAATTAAAAATTAATATACAGACTAGCAAGTAGAAGAGTGTCTGTACGTGAATGTGGACAGCAGGAAGATACCTCTGTTCACTTCTGATCCCCTCCAAATTGTTATGTTTCCTATTTTCTGCAACTGTGCATGAGAGAATGAAGTGTTAGTGTCCCCCTTTTCTGTAATAAACTAGTGGTAAAAGCACTTTTTCAAGGAGAGGATTCATTTTACTACTTAAAGGGAACTGTAGAAAGGGAATTCCAGTCTATCTCCTAACTTTTAAAAGATTCTTAACCAACAAGTTACAAGACTGCTGAGGTGAAAAAGATCTGAGGGAAAAGTGTCTACAAGTCCTTTCAAAGTGTTGTTACTGTGCTGCAAAGAGTTAGGACTCATAGGGCTAGAAAGTGGCAAGGTAGGAAACTCACTAGACAATATGTTTTAGTGCATACATCATTCATGCAGGAGTTTTGGAAGCTTTGTTTTTTGGAATTTTATGTCCATCATTTCTTGCTAAAATGTATCTGATGGTTTTGGAGTAGAACTGGAACTTAAGACATCCCCTCCTGAGTGCTGAGCCAATAAAGCTATGAAAGGATGTTCTTTTTTTTTTTTTTTTTTTTTGTTTTGCCTGAACTTTGAATTCGTTACTACAAAATGGCAGAGCTTCAGCAGGAAAGGAGTTTATCTTTCCTTTACAGGTTCTCCTTTAGTAACACTATTACCAGATAAGTTGAAGTATCCTTCTGCAGCACGTGAATTTGAACTCTTCTGGCCAGAGTACTGAATTCAGATTTTCTTTCTGGCTTAGTGTGTAAACCAGTAGGTTTTATATAGAAAATATCACTATTACATCCATCTGTGTTCCATGAAATCAGTCAGAAACTGCTGCTGGTAATGGGCCACATACAGCCTATGTGTAAGGGATAAAGTGAGAAAATCTGCTAGATGGCCTTATAAGGGTAGCGATCCTAAGAATTGTTTTGTCCCTGGATTTCAAAAACCAAAGCAGAGGTATTCAACTGGGGAGAGTCTTAGCTATATGCAGAAGCACAGCTCCCATCTCCTAAAAGAAGTGTAATTGCTTATGTCCTGATTTCAGCTGGGATGGAGTTAATTAATTGTCTTCCTAGTAGCTGGTACAGTATTATGTTTTTGAGTTACCTATGAGAAGAATGTTGATAACACTGATGTTTTCAGTTGTTGCTAAGTAATGTTTAGTCTAAAATCAAGGATTTTTCAGCTTCTGATGCCCAGCCAGCAAGAAAGCTGGGGGGGCACAAGAAGTTGGGAGGGGACACAGCCAGGGCAGCTGACCCAAAGTGGCCAACGGGGTATTCCAGACCATGGGACGTCACATCTAGTATAGGAACCGGGGGGAGTGGGGGGGGGGGGATTGCCGCTCGGGAACTAATGGGGCGTTGGTTGGCAGGTGGTGAGCAATTGCACTGTGTATCACTTGCATATTCCAATCTTTTTATTATTACTATTGTCATTTTATTAGTGTTATCATTATTAGTTTCTTCTTCTCTGTTCTATTAAACTGTTCTTATCTCAACCCACGAGTTTTACTTCTTTTCCTGATTTTCTCCCCCATCCCACTGGCTGGGGGGGAAGTGAGTGAGCGGCTGCGTGGGGCTTAGTTGCCAACTGGGGTTAAACCGCGACAGCTTCTAAGCAGAAAAAAATGTTATATAGATTGCATTTCTGGATTTTCATCCCTCTGTTCTTCATTTAGGAGTCTACAGTCTCTATGTATTAGAATGAGTTCTCAATCTTGGTTTAAGCTCCTGTTTCAAGCCATTATCAGTAATGTGTGTTGTGAAGGACTTTCTTACCCTTTACCCTTGATAATAACTCATAGCAAGGGTTTCATTTTAACCATAGAGATAATGTGATTTGTTTACATTCTGAAAATTGTGATTTGACATTCTGTTTATATTCATCCACATTGTGTAACTAAAACTTGTTAGTTACCTTGTAGCAGTAACAGTTTCTGATCTGAATTTAAGGCTACAGGAAAGCATTGTTTACCAGAAAAAAGTTTACCTTTCTATTAAAATAGCTAATTTATTGGAAAAGGCAGTACATTTTGGGGCAAGTAGATGTCAAATTAAAGGAATATTTTGATAAATGATTATTGGGCAGTAGTACATCCATCTTGGAGGAACCGCTACAATTTAACAATAGAAATTTTGTACAATCTATGAGTATGCTTTAGTGAACA